CAGCCTGGGATCGAACCCCAGGCTGTAGTGACGCTGCAACACTGCGATGCAGTGCTTTAGACCGCTGCACCACTCGCGAGGCCCCAAAGCAGGATTTCTTACATGCGTCCGGATTCGTGTCCCGTTCCTTGAAAGCGGCAGCTTTAGCCTTTTGCTCAATAGTAGAATACACAAGGTGCAATTTCGAAATGTGGTTGTGCATCAGCAGTTCTCTTGTTATGTCAGTCACTGATAGTCACGCAATTAGACCATGTCAGCTAACATTTTTTAGGTTGGTAAGTTAGTCTAGCTGCCAGCTATCTAAACTTGTAGTAATCATGGTCGAATTACCGACCTGGGTGGCCCCATTGATTTTATTAGTCACTCTGTCATATATTAAAAACTGAAAACATTTCTCTACGCCACATGGCAAAATATGTAGAACTCCAGGAAATTAACTCTAAAACTTAAATTTAGCTTAGGGCCCCCAAAAGGCAGCCTTTGGAGCCTAGGCCTCTGACTGCATCTGTGGGTATGGATGTGGTTACGCAGACCCGCGAGCCACTGCGGCCCCAAATGAGGAGTTCAGATTTGTTGTGGCCCCCACCCCCATCAAAGTTGCCCATCCCTTTCCTAGATAAAGATGCAGTACTACCAAACATACAGGTGAAAGAGGAACAGTGCAGTAGTCAATTGAGTTGGAGTGTTGAGTTCCACATCAAACTCAATATTGACAGTCCTGCAGAGAACTATCAACTGTTGTTCATAACCCCCAGATATGACAGGTGGAAGCCTAGGCCTAGCATTTGTTGTGAAAATAGGGTATACTAGGTATACTCTACCAGCTGAGCTCTGTAGCTCAGCTGGTAGAGCACGGCGCTTGTAACGCCAAGGTAGTGGGTTCGATCCCCGGGACCACCCATACACAAAAATGTATGCACGCATGACTGTAAGTCGCTTTGGATAAAAGCGTCTGCTAAATGGCATATTATTATTATATTATTAGATATGTGTAGTGGTAATTGGCTGACATGGGCGTGTGTCAAGTTGCCATTCTGGTTTTGGGGGGTTTCCTGGCTACAACCAGACTAACCTTTTGGAAATTCAAGGTAAAGACTTGAATTTACCTTGAATTCAAGGTAAATTACTTAACCTTTGTCAATAATCATAGCTATATAATCATATATAAGCGCACAATCTTATCAACAAGATGCCAAAGTGAAGAGGAGTTTGTTTACCATGCAAGCGTACAAGGCTGGAGATTGGAAATAATACGGAAATGTAATGACTAGGCTACAAGAGGATATTGAATGCATATTGGATCTTAATTTCATCCATCGCGTGTAGCAATGTAATGTGTTTCTGCAATGCAGACATGTAACAAACCTTAGTTGTTACTGTTAGTTGTCAAGCAGTTAGTACAACTAACAGTTACTAGTAGGAAGCAAAGTAAACTCACCACTTTCCATCTCGTTGCCCTTCTTGGCGGTGGGCGCGTTGCCCATGATTGCAGGCCGATAGGGACCCCTTGGATCTGGGTTACTTTTGAGTTTTCTTCACGATCCGAGTTCTGTATTTGAGGAAGCTGGCTACTAGCTGGCTGCTATCATAGCTAACTAGCCAACAGTGAGGTGTCAATTGTACTCCGCCACTACTTTTTCTTTATCCGGGGATGGGGGGGTAAACTAGCTAACTGTACAGGCTAGCTAGATGGCCAGCCAGTGGCTAGCCAACGACCTAGCTAGCTAGCCGGTTTTCCCTCTATTTCGGTAGCGAATGTTGCTCAGCTCTCCCTGGTCCAATCCAGAATGTCGAACCGGTTCTGCGCACCTGTCAGGCTGGCTAGCTAGCAAGCTAGCTATCGTCGCCTTCCTACTAGCTAGCTAGCTATCACTTGCAGACCCCACTAAAGGCCCTTGACTTTCCAATGTATTCCGACACAAAAACCTTATATTTCGACTTTCCCAAGTAATTATTATTGCAAATCGATAGCAGCCCCTTCCTTTCCTTGATCTCAGGTCCGATGATTTATCAGGTTTCAGAACCGATCAGCTGTGGCTTACTTGCCAAAATCAACAGTCCCCTCCATTAATCCTCAGACTACAGTGAGACGAACTCTTGCTTCAGAGATCCACTCCCTGAATATACCTCATTGGCCAATACTTATGTGACAGACAGTACGAGACAACTGTTGATTGGATATGCATCAGTAAATCCAATCGTTGTGATGTTGTGATTTGTCTATTGGTATCTGTCAAATGGTCTTTTTATCCCGCCTTCTCAGACCAGCTAATAACGTCATTTATTATTTTCCTCTAGTTTACCAAATGCTTGGTTTTTCCTTGGTGGTTTTGGTTAACTCAATGGTCGAGAAATATAGGTATGATTCACCCCTTCACAAAATTCGTCTTATTCGTGCATAATAGAGTGTTATCGAAAGGCAAGGCCTGTGGCAAACTGGCCCTATACCGACCCCTCCCGCCCGACTAATCCGTGATTGGCTGTGTGACGTCAAGACGGGCTATTTTTAGAAAGTTGGTCAGAATTTAAGGCACGCGGAGATCTACGTTTTTAGAATATCAAAAAGAAATCTGGATTATCTCGGAGTAAACCACTTGATACATTCCAAGTTCTATCGGTAAATTTACATTTATATTTTAGTAATTTAGCAGATCGATGCTCTTATCCAGAGCGACTTACATTCATCTTAAAATAGCTAAATTGGACAGAAATGTAAACGTAAATGTTGTAAATATGACTGGTAAGGAAACCAGTGTCATTTAGTTCTAATAATATTTAATATTGCACGAATTGTCCTAGATATCAGATTTTACCACCAGACAGCCCACATTCACATACCTCTTTTGCCATGATCTCCTATCCAGAAAAGATAATGTCATACATTTCATAGCTGTCAATAATTGCAAGCGTCCTTACATGCATGTTTTTTCAGCAAACCTTTCACAAAAGGATTACATTCAGTGAACTCTGAAGTCAATGAGAAGAGAAAACAGGAATCAGTGAAAATGGGGAAATTTGAACGTTAACATTTTCACCATTTTGTCTTGAAGACAGCTGTAATTCAAGTTGCCTGGCAACAAGCAAACCAGGCAGTCAATTTCTAAAATATGCACCATGAGAGGTGAGCGTACTACACTGCAGATACAGTGGGGGAAAAAAGTATTTAGTCAGCCACCAATTGTGCAAGTTCTCCCACTTAAAAAGATGAGAGAGGCCTGTAATTTTCATCATAGGTACACGTCAACTATGACAGACAAATTGAGAAGAAAAAAATCCAGAAAATCACATTGTAGGATTTTTAATGAATTTATTTGCAAATTATGGTGGAAAATAAGTATTTGGTCACCTACAAACAAGCAAGATTTCTGGCTCTCACAGACCTGTAACTTCTTTAAGAGGCTCCTCTGTCCTCCACTCGTTACCTGTATTAATGGCACCTGTTTGAACTTGTTATCAGTATAAAAGACACCTGTCCACAACCTCAAACAGTCACACTACAAACTCCACTATGGCCAAGACCAAAGAGCTGTCAAAGGACACCAGAAACAAAATTGTAGACCTGCACCAGGCTGGGAAGACTTAATCTGCAATAGGTAAGCAGCTGGGTTTGAAGAAATCAACTGTGGGAGCAATTATTAGGAAATGGAAGACATACAAGACCACTGATAATCTCCCTCGATCTGGGGCTCCATGCAAGATCTCACCCCGTGGGGTCAAAATGATCACAAGAACGGTGAGCAAAAATCCCAGAACCACACGGGGGGACCTAGTGAATGACCTGCAGAGAGCTGGGACCAAAGTAACAAAGCCTACCATCAGTAACACACTACGCCGCCAGGGACTCAAATCCTGCAGTGCCAGACGTGTCCCCCTGCTTAAGCCAGTACATGTCCAGGCCCGTCTGAAGTTTGCTAGAGTGCATTTGGATGATCCAGAAGAGGATTGGGAGAATGTCATATGGTCAGATGAAACCAAAATAGAACTTTTTGGTAAAAACTCAACTCGTCGTGTTTGGAGGACAAAGAATGCTGAGTTGCATCCAAAGAACACCATACCTACTGTGAAGCATGGGGGTGGAAACATCATGCTTTGGGGCTGTTTTTCTGCAAAGGGAACAGGATGACTGATCCGTGTAAAGGAAAGAATGAATGGGGCCATGTATCGTGAGATTTTGAGTGAAAACCTCCTTCCATCAGCAAGGGCATTGAAGATGAAACGTGGCTGGGTCTTTCAGCATGACAATGATCCCAAACACACCGCCCAGGCAACGAAGGAGTGGCTTCGTAAGAAGCATTTCAAGGTCCTGGAGTGGCCTAGCCAGTCTCCAGAGCTCAACCCCATAGAAAATCTTTGGAGGGAGTTGAAAGTCTGTGTTGCCAAGCGACAGCCCCAAAACATCACTGCTCTAGAGGAGATCTGCATGGAGGAATGGGCCAAAATACCAGCAACAGTGTGTGAAAACCTTGTGAAGACTTACAGAAAACGTTTGACCTGTGTCATTGCCAACAAAGGGTATATAACAAAGTATTGAGAAACTTTTGTTATTGACCAAATACTTATTTTCCACCATAATTTGCAAATAAATTCATTAAAAATCATACAATGTGATTTTCTGGATTTTTTAAAATCATTATGTCTGTCATAGTTGACGTGTACCTATGATGAAAATTTCAGGCCTCTCATCTTTTTAAGTGGGAGAACTTGCACAATTGGTGGCTGACTAAATACTTTTTTCCCCCCACTGTATTTATGAATGTAACAAAAAGTAGAGGAAGCTACACCCATTATTTTCAATGCAAAACCATTCAAAGTTGAGGAAAGGTGATACTCCATTAAATAATCAGATGTAGAATACCATCTTTGCCGTTTTCATCACAAGTCTCAAAGCTTGTCAGAGACAATCACACACATCACATAACAAAAAAAGATTTATTTCAAAACAAAATGGCACACAGGAAAAATAAAATAAAAAACATATGTACATACCAGTATTAGCTGCCCCCCCCCCCCAAAAAAAAGTATCCCAAAACATCAAAGGGGGAAAACAGTAACCCAAATGCTATAAGGACCATAAACACTTAAACATAACATCTCAGAAAGAGCCAAAAAATACCACCATTATTTTCCTTCCTGCAACTTGAGTCATTTCTTCCTCCATTTTGCTTCACACAATCCTCTGTTGGTATTTACATTACATAATTAACAGCTGACTAGTTGGTGTGAATCAGTATTTCTGCCAATTAGCTGCTAAACATTTATGGAAACTTGGATATTTCAGCTTTCGCCCTGTTGATAGTATTAAAAATGAAGGGATGAATTAGTTTTAACTTCCAATACATAAAGATGACTCCAGAAAGATTGTCTTGGTTGCAAGACACTGTAGTCCTCTGAAGTCCAAGGTGAGAGTGTGTTGTTGACAGTTTCAGGGAAATAAGAGCAGCTGTAAGGCAAAGCTGGCTGTACATCCAAGTCAGAATGTCCATGTCCATTCTTCTGCTTATAGTGTTTGGGTTGATCATTGATTATGTGTGAGTATATGCATGTTTCCCTCTACAAGCAGTCCATAGAGTTGTCAGGTAGCAACCCTATGGGTGGGGCCTTGCCTGGGAGGCAAGATGGGGGCAGCATAGAGTTGGGGGCAGGATCCACATTCTCTGAGTCTTCCATCCTTTCTGCACACCCTTCCCAGTTTATATGGAATCTTGTTACACGTGGGTTTGAAGCCAAAATATTTCTCTGGAGCTGGAAGACAGACAAACAGCATTAAGGTGGTATTCCAATGAAATTATTCAGTACATGTACTTTTATTTGCAATAAGACGTTCCATTTTTACATTATACTGAAGCCTGAGCAGTACAGTGGGACATGTGCCCATGGTGAGTGGGCAGAGTTTGCACTTTAAGACCAATGTATTAGTGGATACTTCGCCCTTCCACAACAGAAAGGTTGAATTTAATTCCAAAAAGTTGTCCCCTCTACTCTGCCATCATTCATTCCCCTTCATAGATCTGATATAAATTGGTAGGTGTAAGCAATAGCTCCACCTAGTTTCCTCAATATTAATGTAACAGTCCTGTCAGATCTGTGAATGGTAGTGAACAAGGGCAGATGGGAGGGAACAAGTAAAGTGTAAGTAAGCATTTCGTTGGACGGTGTATACCATGTGTATTGTGTACATACGACTAATAAAACTTGAACATCTTCCTGGAAGGAAACACAGTCAAGCTAAATCATGCACACCCATTGAGAGTTTCCTCCTTTACCTGTCCATAGTCAGGTTTGATGGGTGGGTTCTCCCGCAGCTCAGGGTCAGTGTACTCGTTGTTGACGTAGTACCCGATGCGAATGAACTCCTGTCCGCGGTATGTACAGGTGATTAGCGCCACAGTGACACCGACAGCATCGCTTTCTGGAATCAGACCCGTGTTTGGGGCATCCGCCTGTTGAGAGGTAACATACTGTAGATGATGATGAGGTGCAAGGAGGAAGGCAGGAGGAGAGAGGGGTAAGGGGGAGGGTATAGTTTGTATATCTGGTTTCTCCAATACAGCACCAGTGTGTCGCTAGTGATTATGTTATAAGCTCAGAGTTATTTTTTGGGAACTGTTTCCATCGCTAGGACTGACACTGAGACCTTGTGACGAGCAGAATCAACAACCTCTGCATCATCAAAACAGTTGTTTTGTGAGAAGGTGCTAACCCATGTTCACAGTTGGCCATTGTTATGTAAATTATGTGTAAAGTACCAGTGGCCTTTGCCCCAAATCAGAGCAGGTCCACTGAGGCCATGGTCCAATGAGACCCAGGAACTGGGCCATGGAGATGAACACAAAAGTCTGAGCCTTTTTGGTAAAACAGTGGGGAAATTTGCCAGAAGGGTTGAATGAAAGATGAAAGGCAAAAAGAATGGACACAGGTAGAGAGGGGGGTGTATGCTAGATTGGGCTGGGGAATGAAGAGGAGCAAGGAAAGCTGCAGCCAGACAACAGCTGAAATAACATTGTTAGTTACTTCCATCTATAAAACTTACCTGGAACACAAACATGTGCCTCCCGGCTGGTACTGGGCCAACCAGAACAGAGTCAAGGGTTTGGTCATACTCTTCACTCTCTGCTGAACCCACATAGATGATCTTCCACTCAAGATCTGCAACACAAAAAATAATAAAGTAAAATCACTGTCTTCCGGACCAACAAACTCCGTTTGAAACTTTGGAGAAAGCAAGGAAATAACTGGACTGTGAAGACGGCTCTGGTCAGCATTCTGTTATCAATTACACATGTGAAATGATTTGATTGTTTGGGTAAGATAACGCGCAAGGCAAGTGGACCACTACATATCAATGCGTGTTCTAGAAGTTAGCGTTAGTTACCTACGTAAGAATTCCCCGCCACCGCCAACCAAATACAAACAAAACCAAAAGTTTGACACCATTCTAGCTAAGCTAGCCAGCTAAATAGCCATATCAACTAACGCCACCATGTAGCTAAGCAATATCAAAGTACAATGTGTAAAAAATATATATTAAAAAACGAGCCACCTCTTTGTTCAGTAGGCATATAAAGCAGTAATTAACCATTCTTTGTTTGCCAGAACTAGCTAGCTAGCGAGATTATCAGCTAGGCTAGCTACTTCATGTTCAAACAACTGGCAATTTAGCTAGCAAGCTAACGTTAGCAAGCTAGCCATAAATCGTCAGATGAGAATAAACAAAGTAATTATTCGACAGGTGAGCACAACACTTACCTTCTGGCAGGTCTTCCATGCACTCAAATGTTATTTCGAATTGAAATGGGTTTCCGAATCGACTCGGGTTATCGAGGACAGCGACATTTAGTACTTGAACCTTCGCCATTATTGCTGTTCCTACTGCGAGTGACAGACGCGCTGGCTGAGTCGCTAGCAAACTGGACTGTCAAGCAAATTTTCCAGGGAAGGTTTCAGGCCGCAACAATGTAGCAACTAGCAAGCAACGTTCTCACGCAGCTCACACGAAGAGAAATTCGGTTGTTGCGTTTAAAAATGCATCTGATTTCGCAGGTTGACAGCTACGCTTTAGTGTAATTTTGAAATTATTTGGTAGATATATCTTATTGTTATAATCGCCTGCTATATGAGCCAATACTTTCTACAGAAATTGTATTCTTTAAACAAAGTGCCATTCGTTTTTAAAGTATTTACTGGTATCTGAAATATTCCTCTGACTAGTTTTGTTCAATATAGCTATTTCATGAACAAACAAATCACCCGCCAGTAAATTTCACTAAGCCACCAAAATGTCGAATGAAATGGGGCGGGTTGTCTTTCTGTTCTAAACGATGATTCGCTGGGTAGAAGAAAAGTAAAGCTATGATTGGCCAGCAACAATAACGTTGTGCTCGAACAACGCCACAAAACGGGTGCAATTACACGTTACAAAACGTTTCAGGTAGAAATTAAAATGACACGACCCTACTCCCCCATGTACCCCACCGCTTTGGCCAAAGCAAACAAACTCAACCACTGTACCAAATTCAGCCACTCTTTTGAGATGGAAACATTTCTACATTCTAGTCTGGAGTGAAGAGGAAAGTCCCAGGACTATTTCATTTTTGGTCCCATAATGTCTACACCACATTTGTGTGTGTGTGTGTTTCAATGGATTTACGTATGTGTATAGGGCTCTAGAAATGTATGATGCATACTTCAAGTTCATGTTGTGTAGGTCAATACATGGGAGACCATTAACCCAAGGGCCTGTGGCAGAGATACTTTCTGCACACATAATAATGTGACTACTCAGTGCTTTTTGCAGACTGCAGAATGTATGCCCACGTAACATGCAATATTGGGGTGGTTATGGATTGACAATTAACCACACCAAATAGAAACATGGAAATGTTTCTGAGTGGCGCAGTGGTCTAAGGCACTGCATCGCAGTGCTAACTGTGCCACTAGAGATCCTGGTTCGAATCCAGGCTCTGTCGCAGCCGGCCGCGACCGGGAGACTCATGGGCGGCGCACAATTGGCCCAGCGTCGTCCAGGGTAGGGGAGGGAATGGCCGGCAGGGATGTAGCTCAGTTGATAGAGCATGGCGTTTGCAACGCCAGGGTTGTGGGTTCGATTCCCACGGGGGGCCAGTATAAAAAAAAAATAAATAAAAATATGTATTCACTAACTGTAAGTCGCTCTGGATAAGAGCGTCTGCTAAATGACTAAAAATGTAAAAAAAATGTAATCATATATTGAACAGACTGTGTTTTCTATGCCAGTCTTCAGTCACATTCTGGCATAGGCCTAGATGAAACTGTGATTAGGCAAGGATTAAGATACCATAATTAGCTGTGCTCATGGTATTTCAGGATTTTTTCAATCTTGCTTTGAGGATGGGGTCGGCTAGAAAAAAATATAATTGCTCTCCACTAGAGGTCCTAAAACCGCAAAGAAATTCTCACCATGCACACACATGAAACCCTTAAAATACAGGATTTAAAAATGCAGCCTAAAGTTTCTCAAAATGTTCAGTGTTTACTCATTGGGCCTGAACATATCCACAGCCTTTTATCTTTCTCTTGCAGATGGAAAAAAAATGTAGATGGACACTTTCAAAGCTTCAGACACACATCAATAGAACAGTGTAGAACTTGAGAAAGGTTCCCATAGAAATCTAATAGTGAAGGATCCATAATGAGTGAGAGAGCATGAGCAATGGGAGGAAGTAGGCTCCATTGAGCAGGTGGATTTTTGTCCACTACTCTGGTGCCTCATCATACAAAGGCGTATCTGTCTCCTGTGCCACAGGTTGATACTGGGCTCAGGTACTGTAACATGAGACTGAAGTGAACCATGTGACCATAGGGGCGATGTGAAGAGGGAATGAAAAAAACTGTTTTACATAGTTAAACCTATACAGGTAGTCTACGGTGACATATATCAAAATATACCCATTCAGCCACTAAAACGGCCTTGCTATCGGATTTAGTTAGCAGATTATTTTTCGGACATTGTTGGGAGAGGTTTAATCATAAACCCGTCCTGACATTTGAGCCAGTTTCGGTTCACCCACTCACTCGATTAGGTGAGGCGGCGGAAGCGACCCGTTGTTTTTTTCGCAAGGAGTTGGATTGATCCCCGTTGTATAAAACGAATATCAACATTATTCGGTGAAAAGGTGTGTATAATGTTCTGTACAGCTCTGTCTATAATAAAATCCTATACTTCTTGTATTATTAGATCGACTAGTTTGTTGCGGGGCAGGTGTGCGGTATCTCTTTACATAAAATGGCTTGGAAGTATTGGAAATGAATTATGGGGCACAGTAAATCCTATACTTTACAATACTTTTATAGGGTTTTACTTTTATTTCGATAGGATGCTACTTTCACAACATTTACTAAGAATATTATTTATTAATTGGCATTTGTTATCTCAATGCCCTCCCTCCCCACCTCCCTGAACAGGTGCAATTGTTCACATATCCCACTAGTTTTACTAAGTCAGCCCACCTTAAACGTTTCATTTGGAATAAAGGCCTATATGTCTCAAACAAATTATCCTGAATGTGCCTTGAAGGATCTGAAAACTTTTTGGGGAGGTGGTCATGGTGCTGAATTAATCATAATTGTAATTTTGCCTCTGTGGTCAAATCGACATTTTAGTCATTTAGCAGACACTCTTATCCAGAGGGACTTACAGGAGCCATTAGGGTTAAGTGCCTTGCTTAAGGGCACATCAACAGATTTTTAATCTAGGCGGCCCGGGGATTCTAACCAGCGAACTTTCAGTTACTGGCCCAATGCTCTTAACCGCTAGGCTACCTGCAGCCCTATCAATTTCAGGTTGGACAGTTTCTGACAGTCTGACATTTTTATAATAACTTGATTCAATCTGTTTTATTGTATTGTCATGGTATGGGATAATTGTTTCTCCTGGGACTTAGAATAATTCTATGAGGAATGAAGTATAGAGAGCTGTTAGGATTTCATCTTCTCTTGCATTTTATGTCACTTTATGAACCAGACTCAATAATATTGGGATTTCAATAGAGACTCAGGCTCAATGTAGCTCCGTATGAACTGTTTTTTTTTTCTTTAACACTATAATCTTCATCTCTTTAGAGCGCCCCCTGGGGAGACTGACGCCAGTGTGCTTGTGCTGCTGAGCACTACTCCTGATGAAATGGCCCTGACCTGATGTCCAGGCGTCCCCTTGCTGATGATCTACCCTCTCTAGAACCCATCGGTTTGAGTGGAGATGGCACTGCTCCCAGACATGACGGCCTGGCCTGGTCTCCTGGCTGGGAGTGTCCTACTACTGGTCCTGGGGAGTAATCCTGTCCGGGTTATGGGTGAGTCATGCCACCGCCTCTACAATCCCCCCGTCTTTCTTGTGAAATAACCCCATCACCACCACACTGGATTGTCTCTGACCACAGACAAACAATCTATTGTACGACTGCCTGGAACGATATGCACAAAAGCACAAAAGCAGGTTGCACACAACATTCTAGGCATTAAGCAATAAAAACTAAAGCATGCAGTAACATGCCAACAGGTTGTACGTATATTTCGTAATGTGTGAGAGCTTTGGGTAGGAACCATTGGTATGAAAAGCTCGGGCACACCCACTTTTCTTAATGTGGACGTGATTTCTCTGATAGACGTATGGTAATACTTAATGCTCGTATTTATAATGCTTTATTACTTGTTTTAAAGCACATATGAGCCCTTATATGTTATATTTTACACTGCAATTCGTCAGTGCACTGAACTGTTAGTCAGGTTCATTATGAGATGATAGTAAGACGTTATAATGGGGGTCGTATGTGCTTATAGAACGTTTTTACAATGCATTATAGCTGTACATTACTCAGCAAGAAACAATAAATAAAGCAGCCTTTTAGTGGTTGTTCTGAGTGCTCTGGCAGTAACTCCAACAACAAACTCTTCTGCTTTTCTGGTAATGGGACAACACTGAACAATGGCTGCACTTCAATGCAGACACCTCCAAGCTGTAATGTCAACTGTAGTTAGTTTGCTACAATAAACGTATCTGGCTGTTACTGCTACAGGAGGTTTTTCGGTGTCTCATTTTGAGCAAAAGCTGTGCCCCTCCCCCAAACAACCTAGCCTTGTTTTTTGTTATCAAGGTGTACTTTTGCCCTTGGGAGAGTTTACTATTTTACTATTTGCCTTAGCCAATCATTAACTTTGTTTGAAATCCCTAAATGGGCGTTGAAGTTTTCCAAGCAAGACATCTACCCTGAATTGATAGTCAATAATCACTTTGACACCGCAGTGACATGGTAATAGAAATATAGTTATGCTTTTCCGGATAGTTCAACAAGTAAAATTGTTCAGGGGCTGAGCTCCACTGACCAGAGGCAAAGGCCGCATTCCAAGTCCTCTCCTCCCCCTCTCCTACATTCAAGTAGTTACTGTGCGGGATGTCACAGAGTAATCACATGGCTGGTGATGGAGAAAGTGCCTGAACAAAGCACTGGACTTGAGGAACCCAGTGATCCTATCGCATTGCAATAGGCTATTATGTTGTCGATCTATCAATCTAAAAATGACATCAACTTCTACCTTTCTGTTTTGTTTCCCCCTCCGCTGTAAATAAATTACTTTTAACTGTATTTAAGTAACTTGATGTGTTAAAACTTTTGCTTATTTGTTTATTATTTGTTTATTGGGATCCGCATTAGCTTTTGCAGAAGCTGCAGCTACTCTTCCAGTGGTCCACAAAAAAAAACAAAACATGAAAAGTAACAAAACACTGATACACTGATAGACAAGGACAGTCACACAAATTTAAAATACAACGATATACAAACAATACAACAACAAAAAATAACATAAACAATACTCATATGAATGCTTGACTTTAGACTGTTGTTCTGGTATGTGGTCATGTGTGGACATGTAGGTTGTTGCCTCAGAGCACCACAACTGTCATTTTTATCACCTGCAGTTGGTTCAGTGTGTCATTTGAAAATGTCCTGTTTTTCCACATTGTTCAATCCTATTGTGTTATCCTACATTGAGCAAAGAGAGGGTGTATTTGTATTCTTGTAGCAAACTATTACAATGACCTGAGTGGTAATCTTTAATGCTTTCTACAGGGGACAACACAACTAATGGATTACCCTCTAACACAACTGCCCCAGTGAGTAAACTGCTGCTATCTTTATCTCTGTTTCGGTTAGAGGAAATTAAACCAGAAGTATCCAGAGCTTTATTTGTGAGAATGACTGCTACCCCTGTATTGTTCTGCCTCTAGGGACCCAACATTGCAGCTATTGTGGCCCCGACTGTTATACTGGGGCTGCTGGCCATAGCATCTGCTGTGCTAACGTGGCTTTTCTGCGTGGTGAGGAAGAAGAGGCAGTCTGAGGGGACGTACCGGCCCAGTGCTGAGGAGCAGACAGGGGCCCACAGTGTTGAGACACCAGACGCACTCAAACTGCCCAAGGAGGAGAGACTCATCTGAGTCTAGTGTCTCAGCAGTCTCTCAACACCTGTCCTGTACATCCAAGCAACAGCAAAATCCTGATGACTGAAGAAGCTCCACCTCAAGAGCTTATGATTACCTTTACCGCGGCACCTATATTGGCCCCAATATTAGATATTAGAGGGTCATGACACAACGTTGACAGATACAGGATGGGACGAGAGGTACACAGGACCTAGCCCTGGAAGAGGAGGGCCCATGCTCCCGAGTGGCGCAGCGGTCTAAGGCACTGCATCTCAGTGCTTGAGGCGTCACTACAGACCCCCTGGTTCGATTCTAGGCTGTATCACAACCGGCCGTGATTGGGAGTCCCATAGGGCGGCGCACAATTGGCCCAGTGTAGGCCGTCATTGTAAATAAGAATTTGTTCTTAACTGACTTGCCTAGTTAAATAAAGGTAAAATAAAATTAAAATAAATAAGTGTACTGTATGTACTGCAAGCACATGGACTAGTGCTAGTACAGGACCAGGACACAAACGTTGGGATAGCTACCACAAATACCACATCCCTCAACTAGAACAACTAGAACTAAGGTCCATGAGGTGCTGACTGCTTTCTCTATGGTGTGTTATTTAATAGCACTGGCATATTTGAATGGGATAGACATGTACACAATCATTCAAATGGTCATACTGGAAGAGGAACCAAACCATCACCTGCACTAGATGGAAGAGGACCAGTATTCAGTCTCTGCTCATACTCGTCTTTGGTAAATACATTTCACTCTGAGTATTTCAGTCCTCTGTCTAGGCAATTTGGCTCTCTCAACAGCTACTGAAAGACTGGATACAGTCTAACTTCTATAATCGTAAGCAGACCCGTGCTTGCTTGATACATGCAAAAAATGATATCGGAATGTAATGTAAATGTTTGTATAAATTATTTCTAGATTACTTAAATGTATAGCGTGCAATAATATTTGTTTACGAGGAAACCACTATTGATTGTCAGAAAAGCATTTCATTGTCTAGACTTTTACACTGATTACTTACCTCAATACATGTCTTACTACTGAATCAGTCCTGTATCCAGCTTTACAGATAATGACTCTGTAACCTAATATTATCTAGAAAACATTTCTCCCAGTGGGATATTCTCTGTTTGTGGATACCGTGTGCAGATCAAATAATTATTCAATTCTTAATCATATTTAAGCACAAAATGAATGATTGTTTGCTCTTGAATAATTGTATTGTAGTATTTCATAATTGTTATATTAATTTAACATTGGATGAAATTGTATATTACATTAGATTGTATATTCCATGTGTGTTCTTACCAGTATGTTGTTTGTATGTTGCAAAGCCTATGATGGGATTCAATTCTCATAATGTAGAGTTGTTTTACAATGTCATGACATATTTATCTATTGTAGCCTACATGTTAAATAAATACTAATAGTCATTTTTAGAATTGGCTACCTCAGCAGATTTTTTTTTGCATAATCAGTGCTGGACTTTGATCAGATGGTGTCAAGACTTGCTTCTGGGTCTCTCTGGTGTGAAAACACAACCACACTTATATGAGGAATTAACCAGAGGACAAAAGCAGAAGAAAGAGCATCATATCTGACGTATCAGACATCCCTAAAATGGTGAGTGTGAAGTGTATGAGAAATGATACACTTGCTCAGCATGCAGACCTTACTGGTCAGCTTTTTGTGAAGCTGTGATTGACAAAATAGCTTCAGACAGAATTATTAGCCAGCGGCAACTGACTACAGGAGCTGGGAAGTGATGACGACTGTTGAAAACAATGCAGCCAAGTCTTTAACAGTCAGTCTCATTTTGCCTGTTGTTACATTCTAGGAATGCATTCCAATGCAGTGTATTGCTCTACTAACTCATTGGCATGCACCACAGTGGGCAGTGCAGTTAGTCTTCAGCCTGTAGTGAATGCTCACTAACAAACTCAGTTTTCAAAAATCTACTTTTACCTTTGACATTTTTGGCTCATAGCTTCAAATTCACATAGCTTACAGTATGTGGAAATACTTTAGTTGTGCATGCTGACTTTAATCTAGTGTGTCAATTCAATTTCATGTTGTACAGTAATCAATTATATATAAGACCATATTCATTATTTATAACACCCATCAAATAAAAACAATGAAAACACAGAGAAAGTACCAATTTAATTGAAACTTTAATCATTTTCCAACTTGAAGGCTTCATAGTTAAAATCACTTGCTTTTAATTCCGCAAAGCAATGATTAGATGAATGTAGGAAAATAAAAACTATTCAGTGGATTTCCAACATACAAAAACAAAATAATGTCAAATGTTCAATACTATCTGGTAAGATCACTGTCTAATGTGTAAAAAAAAAAATCATATAGGAACATCTGCCTTCCTGAGAGAAAGCCGATGATAAGGATGAAGGGATGGAGTTGGGGACAGGACGGAGGGGAGTGATAGACTGTTTGGCAGTTGAGTGACTGGATGGTTTAGGCGGCTTCCTCTTCTCCCTCCTCTTCAAACTCGCCCTCCTCAGCAGTGGCATCCTGGTACTGCTGGTACTCAGACACCAGGTCATTCATGTTGCTCTCAGCCTCAGTGAACTCCATCTCATCCATACCCTCTCCGGTGTACCAGTGAAGGAAGGCCTTACGGCGGAACATAGCAGTGAACTGCTCAGAGATACGCTTGAACAGCTCCTGGATGGCTGTGCTGTTGCCGATGAAGGTGGCAGCCATCTTGAGGCCACGGGGTGGGATGTCGCAGACAGCGGTCTTCACGTTGTTGGGGATCCATTCCACAAAGTAGCTGCTGTTCTTGTTCTGGACATTGAGCATTTGCTCGTCCACCTCCTTCATGGACATGCGGCCACGGAAGACGGCAGCCACGGTGAGGTAACGGCCGTGACGAGGGTCGCAGGCCGCCATCATGTTCTTGGAGTCGAACATCTGCTGGGTGAGCTCAGGCACGGACAGGGCGCGGTACTGCTGGCTCCCCCTGCTGGTGAGGGGAGCAAAGCCAGGCATGAAGAAGTGCAGGCGGGGGAAGGGCACCATGTTGACAGCCAATTTGCGGAGGTCGGCGTTGAGCTGGCCAGGGAAACGAAGGCAGGTGGTCACTCCACTCATGGTGGCTGACACCAGGTGGTTGAGGTCTCCGTAGGTGGGTGTGGTGAGCTTGAGAGTGCGGAAGCAGATGTCGTAGAGGGCTTCGTTGTCGATGCAGAAGGTTTCATCTGTGTTCTCCACCAGCTGATGTACAGAGAGGGTGGCGTTGTAGGGCTCCACCACTGTGTCGGACACTTTGGGAGAGGGCACCACGCTGAAGGTGTTCATGATGCGGTCTGGGTACTCCTCGCGGATCTTGCTGATGAGCAGGGTGCCCATGCCAGAGCCAGTGCCCCCACCCAGGGAGTGGGTGAGCTGGAAGCCCTGGAGGCAGTCACAGCTCTCTGCCTCCTTCCTCACTACATCCATGACAGAGTCTACCAGCTCTGCTCCCTCTGTGTAGTGGCCCTTGGCCCAGTTGTTTCCAGCTCCGCTCTGGCCTGCAGACAAGAGTGTCATAAACCACTACTTCACTGACGGGACAAGATTACAGTTGTAGTCTACCACCAAATCTCATATTTCCACTGACTACCAAACCAACCACTCACCGAAGACAAAGTTGTCTGGCCTGAAGATCTGTCCGAAGGGGCCAGACCTGACAGAGTCCATGGTGCCCGGCTCCAGATCTACCAGGATGGCACGGGGGACATACTTCCCACCTGAAAAAGAAGGGAAATATTGGGCATACTGAAGCTATTATTACTGAGCACTGTATTTGTGATTATAGGGTACCTCTGAATGCCAGTATTTTTTCATTGTTAATGCAAGAGTCTATTTCTGTTTGTTTCAATAATTGGAGACATTATTATGTGGTTTATGTATGCATTGCTATATAATGTGCATACTGTACCTGAGGCCTCATTGTAGTACACATTGATCCTGTCTAGCTGCAGGTCGCTGTCTCCATGGTAGCTGCCAGTCGGGTCGATGCCATGCTCATCACTGATCACCTCCCAGAACTGAGACAGCGAGAGAGAGAGGGTGGTTGAGATGCAAGTCAATAGCAATACACAGAAGCATCCATTTAAAAAGCAAGTCAGAATGTAAAATATAAATAAATAGATATAATGCAATGTGTATTTTCTGTTGCATGGATATTTACCTTTTTGTGAGCAACACAAATAGCATGACTTAATGCATTAAATCTTCCCTTTACATAATTATGTACACCTCTAAATGATTCAAATTAATCATTAAAATACAATTTAGATATAAAAATGTATGTCATGTCATAAAAGAAAGGAGGAAGGTATTCTAGTATCGTTATCTCTCCCTTCCACCGCACGCCCATTTAGGGACCGCAAATAACCATTGGGAATGAGTCAGCAGAAACAATACAAAATCAGCCCATTTCATATGCAACAGTGTTTCAAACTGATATTAATCGGATATAGCTGTTGTTTAGACTATTTCTCTTATACACATTTGAATTTTGTGCACGGAATGACCATGCATTTTTCATGCATGTTATAATATAGCCTATCGATAATGGACACAGTTCTGCACCAGCTTACTCTATACATTTATGTGTGGATTACCAGCGGCCTTTCTATATTTTGCTACGCAGAGGGCAAAAAAAAAGACGTATCTTAGCTCGCTTGCAATCATTCACATGAAGCAATCTATTTTCTTGGGGAAATACAAAAGAGTCAATAATGATACCTTGGCTCCGATCTGGTTACCGCACTGGCCGGCTTGCAGATGCACTATTTCGCGCATTATGGATGGGTGGACGGGCGTTGGCTGTGAGGAGACGGCAGTCGAGATTTGGCTCAGAGGACGCTTCTTCTCTTCCCACCCAGCTGACTGTCTGATGAGCCCGCCTCTCCTCCAACTACTGGGCCGAATCGGTGGGCGTTATCCCCATAGTAACCAAAGACCGGAGGAGAGAACGAGGGATCCTAGGCTCGAGGAGAGCGGATAGGATGCTGTTATTTGGAAGTCTTCATCAATAAGTGTTCCAAAGATGCGCAGTTACCCGACCCTACTCACCGAGTGGTGTAGTGATAGCTGCATGCATCCTACAGTAAAATAGACTCTTGTGAGTGAGCTGAAGCGATCATTGTCATCAACTCACTAATGAATGTTCACGGGAGATTTTCCCCAGGAACACAGTGGTCACAATCACGAGTGGTGAAGCACAAGATACAAACCACACACTGTGGACTGATGATATATTGACACCAACCAAAAAAATACATATTCAAAATACCATACTGTAGATGGAGGCGGATGGTAGTAGGCTATTATTAAATCAATATCTAACTCTGCATGAAAACCCGAGGTCACTGGCACCTGAAGCTTGATGTAACAACATTAATCAAGGAGAAATGTTGGCTGAGTGTGTACAGTAGGGTTGTGAATTTAACAGTAATTTACAGGCAGCTAGTGGTAAGTAAGTTACTGTATCTCATATTGCAGTAGAACTACTGTAATCTAAATACAGTATCAAGTAAGTAATGTGTAATGACACATGGTAAAATACAATAGAATTGTGTATTATACTGTAAAAAGTAAATGCTACCGCAATCATAATGAATGAATTACATTCATTTTGGGGAGATGGGGTTTGTATTTCACTGTAATTACATGGATTGGTGCAAGCAGGTTGGCTGCTAGTTAATACATTACAGCATATCAATGAATATTTGGTGTTTGGTATCACTTGCACTTCTAAAGGCCTTAACAAAGGCTTCCAAACCAGCAGCTACTACAGGGCAAAACAGGCCAAATGGACATGGCAAAATGCTCAACCATTAAAGGTTGATGTCTTGCTGTCACTATTATCTGTCCCCTATATATTTTAAATTGATGGGGCACTAACCACATAGGAGTTAGATGCTGTACCAATCTAACTCACTAACGGGTGCAAAAAATATAGCCTCTTACAAGGCATGCCTCAAAATATATGAATTAGCCATAAACAAAACGTTTTTGGCGCTCCAAAAATACAGGTACTGTATTCTGTGGGATGGAATTACAGTACCATTCAAAATACAGCAATTCTTTCCCCGCCCACAACCTTTTCCCACTGCACCACCATTTACCTGCCATGGTCCAAAGTGTGTAAAGTATTATATCTGCATTCCTATGGAATATCTGACCTGCTGGTTGTACGTCAGTACTACTTACTGACGTACAACCAGCAGGTCAGATGATGGACTGATAGAGTTTTTACAGAAAATAACTGTTGTAAACATAGAAAATTATCTCAGGTATTGAAAGGGTTATTTAAGTAAAGCAACACACCTGGCATGGAACATTGTTAATTTATTCACATAATTAAATTTAGACATCTAGTAATCGAGTTACAGCTTGCTGCTTTCATAAGAAACCTCATGTTAGAATACCCTCAGACTTCTAGGATGATCTCAACGTAGCACTGAAAACCTTACAAGATACTAATTAGACTGATGGGAACCTCTGAAGAGATGCTTGAGCACATGAATTTAATTATCACAGATTGAGTTTCCTTTTCATTAACATTAACTTAAATCAATCAAGTTGTGCTTTGGGGACAGGACGGAGGGGAGTGATAGACTGTTTGGCAGTTGAGTGACTGGATGGTTTAGGCGGCTTCCTCTTCTCCCTCCTCTTCAAACTCGCCCTCCTCAGCAGTGGCATCCTGGTACTGCTGGTACTCAGACACCAGGTCATTCATGTTGCTCTCAGCCTCAGTGAACTCCATCTCATCCATACCCTCTCCGGTGTACCAGTGAAGGAAGGCCTTACGGCGGAACATGGCAGTGAACTGCTCAGAGATACGCTTGAACAGCTCCTGGATGGCTGTGCTGTTGCCGATGAAGGTGGCAGACATCTTGAGGCCACGGGGTGGGATGTCGCAGACAGCGGTCTTCACGTTGTTGGGGATCCATTCCACAAAGTAGCTGCTGTTCTTGTTCTGGACGTTGAGCATTTGCTCGTCCACCTCCTTCATGGACATGCGGCCACGGAAGATAGCGGCCACGGTGAGGTAACGGCCGTGACGAGGGTCGCAGGCCGCCATCATGTTCTTGGAGTCGAACATCTGCTGAGTGAGCTCAGGCACGGACAGGGCCCGGTACTGCTGGCTCCCCCTGCTGGTGAGGGGAGCAAAGCCAGGCATGAAGAAGTGCAGGCGGGGGAAGGGCACCATGTTGACAGCCAATTTGCGGAGGTCGGCGTTGAGCTGGCCAGGGAAACGAAGGCAGGTGGTCACTCCACTCATGGTGGCTGACACCAGGTGGTTGAGGTCTCCGTAGGTGGGTGTGGTGAGCTTGAGAGTGCGGAAGCAGATGTCGTAGAGGGCTTCGTTGTCGATGCAGAAGGTTTCATCTGTGTTCTCCACCAGCTGATGCACAGAGAGGGTGGCGTTGTAGGGCTCCACCACTGTGTCAGACACTTTGGGAGAGGGCACCACGCTGAAGGTGTTCATGATGCGGTCAGGGTACTCCTCACGGATCTTGCTGATGAGCAGGGTGCCCATGCCAGAGCCAGTGCCCCCACCCAGGGAGTGGGTGAGCTGGAAGCCCTGGAGGCAGTCACAGCTCTCTGCCTCCTTCCTCACTACATCCATGACAGAGTCTACCAGCTCTGCTCCCTCTGTGTAGTGGCCCTTGGCCCAGTTGTTTCCAGCTCCGCTCTGGCCTGCAAACAGAAGTGTCATAACCCATTACTTCACTGGATAAGACTTTAGTAGTAGCCTACCACCAAATCTCATATTTCCACTGAACACACCAACCACTTACCGAAGACAAAGTTGTCTGGCCTGAAGATCTGTCCAAAGGGACCAGACCTGACAGAGTCCATGGTTCCCGGCTCCAGATCCACCAGGATGGCACGGGGGACATACTTCCCACCTGAAAAAGAAGGGAAATGTTGGACATACTGAAGCTATTGTTGCTGTACACGTTTTATGTATGTATTATTTATTGTATGTCTGTAATATGTAATTTTTCCTCATTAAAACAGCAGTTTATTTAATGTATTATGTGGTTTATGTATACATTGCTATATAATGTGCATACTGTACCTGAGGCCTCATTGTAGTACACATTGATCCTGTCTAGCTGCAGGTCGCTGTCTCCATGGTAGGTGCCAGTCGGGTCGATGCCATGCTCATCACTGATCACCTCCCAGAACTGAGACAGCGAGAGAGAGACAGTGCGAGAGAGAAAGAGAGGAGAATGGGAGCGAGAGGGGGGAGGGGCGGTACAGGGGGATGAGATGCAAGTCAATAGCAACGCACAGAAGCATCCATTTAAAAGTGCAAGTTAGAATATAAAATATAAATAAATAGATATAATGCAATGTGTATTTTCTGTTGCATGGACATTTACCTTTTCATGAGCAACACAACTAGCATGACTTGTATTAAATATTACCTTTACATAATTATGTAATAGTTTAAATGCTTCAAATTAAGCATTAAAAGGTCATTTCGACAGAAATATTCATTAGGTTGAATATATCATGTTATAAGAGGGAGGACGGAGGTTTTCTAGTAGGCTACCATTTCTTTCCCTTCCACGCCCATATTACAAGGACCCCCAAATAACCATTGGGAATGAATCAGCGGAAACAATAAAAAAAAAAAAGCTCAGGACATGTCATATCATATGCAACACCGATTAAAATGTTGTTTATCTTGTGCACAGAATGATCATGCATTTTTCCGCGCACAATAGGCCTATATAGGCCTATTATAGCCTATCGAGGATGCAGTCTTATGGGTGGATTACAAGCCGCCATTCTTAATTTAGCTACGCACTACGCAGAGAGTGCGAGAGGCTTATATAGGTCGCATGCAATCCCTCACATGAAGCAATCTATTTTATTGATATACAAACAAGAGAAGAGTAATACCTTGGCTCCGATCTGGTTTCCGCACTGTCCGGCTTGCAGATGCACTATTTCGCGCATTTTGGATGGAAGGAAGGGCGTTAGCTGTGAGGATTCGACGGTGGAACGAGAAGGTACTAGGCTTGGAGGACGCTCTTTGTCTTTTTAACCAGCTGACTGTCTGATGGACCCGCCTCTCCTGATTCTACTGGGCGGAATCGGTGGTGCAACCTGACGTCATCCCCATGGTAACGAAAAACCGGAGGAAAAAGGGGATTTATTTTATTTTTATTTCACCTTTATTTAACCAGGTAAGCCAGTTGAGAACAAGTTCTCATTTACAACTGCGACCTGGCCAAGATAAAGCAAAGCAGTGCGATAAAAACAACACAGAGTTACATATGGGGTAAAAAACATAAAGTCAAAAATACAACAGAAAATATATATACAGTGTGTGCAAATGTAGCAAGTTATGGAGGTAAGGCAATAAATAGGCTATAGTGCAAAATAATTACAATAGTATTAACACTGGAATGCTAGATGTGCAAGAGATTATGTGCAAATAGAGATACTGGGGTGCAAAAGAGCAAAATAAATAACAATATAGGGATGAGGTAGTTGGGTGGGCTAATTTCAGATGGGCTGTGTACAGGTGCAGTGATCGGTAAGGTGCTCTGACAACTGATGCTTAAAGTTAGTGAGGGAGATAAGAGTCTCCAGCTTCAGAGATTTTTGCAATTCGTTCCAGTCATTGGCAGCAGAGAACTGGAAGGAATGGCGGCCAAAGGAGGTGTTGGCTTTGGGAATGACCAGTGAGATATACCTGCTGGAGCGCAGACTACGGGTGGGTGCTGCTATGGTGACCAATGAGCTAATATAAGGCGGGGATTTGCCTAGCAGTGATTTATAGATGGCCTGGAGCCAGTGGGTTTGACGACGAACATGTAGTGAGGACCAGCCAACAAGAGCGTACAGGTCACAGTGGTGGGTAACGTATGGGGCTTTGGAGACAAAACGGATGGCACTGTGATAGACTACATCCAATTTGCTGAGTAGAGTGTTGGAGGCTATTTTGTAAATGACATCGCCGAAGTCAAGGATCGGTAGGATAGTCAGTTTTACGAGGGCATGTTTGGCAGCATGAGTGAAGGAGGCTTTGTTGCGAAATAGGAAGCCGATTCTAGATTTAACTTTGGATTGGAGATTCTTTATGTGAGTCTGGAAGGAGAGTTTACAGTCTAACCAGACACCTAGGTATTTGTAGTTGTCCACATACTCTAGGTCAGACCCGTCAAGAGTGGTGATTCTAGTCGGGTGGGCGGGTGCCAGCAGCGTTCGATTGAAAAGCATGCATTTAGTTTTACTAGTGTTTAAGAGCAGTTGGAGGCTACTGAAGGAGTGTTGTATGGCATTGAAGCTCGTTTGGAGGTTTGTTAACACAGTGTCCAATGAAGTGCCAGATGTATACAAAATGGTGTCGTCTGCGTAGAGGTGGATCTGAGAGTCACCAGCAGCAAGAGCGACATCATTGATATACACGGAGAAAAGTGTCGGCCCAAGAATTGAACCCTGTGGCACCCCCATAGAGACTGCCATAGGTCCAGACAACAGGCCCTCCGATTTGACACACTGAACTCTATCTGAGAAGTAGTTGGTGAACCAGGCGAGGCAGTCATTTGAGAAACCAAGGCTATTTAGTCTGCCAATAAGAATGCGGTGGTTGACAGAGTCGAAAGCCTTGGCCAGGTCGATGAAGACGGCTGCACAGTACTGTCTATTATCAATCACGGTTATAATATCGTTTAGGACCTTGAGCGTGGCTGAAGTGCACCCATGACCAGCTCGGAAACCGGATTGCATAGCGGAGAAGGTACGGTGGTATTCGAAATGGTCGGTGATCTGTTTGTTAACTTGGCTTTCAAATACTTTCGAAAGGCAGGGCAGGATGGATATAGGTCTGTAGCAGTTTGGATCTAGAGTGTCACCCCCTTTGAAGAGGGGGATGACCGCGGCAGCTTTCCAATCTCTGGGGATCTCAGACGTTATGAAAGAGAGGTTGAACAGACTAGTAATAGGGGTTGCGACAATTTCGGCGGCTAGTTTTAGAAAGAAAGGGTCCAGATTGTCTAGCCCAGCTGATTTGTAGGGGTCCAGATTTTGCAGCTCTTTCAAAACGTCAGCTGTCTGAATTTGTGTGAAGGAGAAGCAGGGGGGGTATGGGCAAGTTTCAGCGGAGGGTGCAGAGTTGGTGGCCGGGGTAGTGGTAGCCAGATGGAAAGCATGGCCAGCTGTAGCAAAATGCTTGTTGAAATTCTCGATTATTGTAGATTTATCGGTGGTGATAGTGTTTCCTAGCCTCAGTGCAGTGGGCAACTGGGAGGAAGTGCTCTTATTCTCCATGGACTTTACAGTGTCCCAAAACTTTTTGGAGTTAGTGCTACAGGATGCAAATTTCTGTTTGAAAAAGTTTGCCTTTGCTTTCCTGACTGCTTGTGTATATTGGTTCCTAACTTCCCTGAAAAGTTGCATATCGCGGGGGCTATTTGATGCTAATACAGTACGCCACAGGATGTTTTTGTGCTGGTCAAGGGCAGTCAAGTCTGAGGAGAACCAGGGGCTATATCGGTTCTTAGTTCTGTATTTTTTGAATGGGGCATGTTTATTTAAGATTGAGAGGAAATTACTTTTAAGGAACAACCAGGCATCCTCTACTGACGGAATGAGATCTATATCCATCCAGGATACCTGGGCCAGGTCAATTAGGAAGGCCTGCTCGCTAAAGTGTTTTAGGGAGCGTTTGACAGTGATGAGGGGTGGTCGTTTGACCGCGGACCCGTTACGGACGCAGGCAATAAGGCAGTGATCGCTGAGATCCTGGTTGAAGACAGCTGAGGTGTATTTAGAGGGTATGTTAGTCAGGATGATATCTATGAGGGTACCCATGTTTACGGATTTAGGGTTGTACCTGGTGGGTTCGTTGATAATTTGCGTGAGGTTGAGGCCATCTAGTTTGGATTGTAGGATGGCCGGGGTATTAAGCATATCCCAATTTAGGTCACCAAGCAGTACGAACTCTGAGGATAAATGGGGGGCAATCAATTCACATATGGTGTCCAGGGCACATCTGGGGGCTGAGGGGGGTCTGTAGCAAGCGGCAACAGTGAGAGACTTATTTCTGGGAAGGTGGATTTTTAGAAGTAGAAGCTCAAACTGTTTGGGCACAGACCTGGATAGTATGATAGAGCTCTGCAGGCTATCTCTACAGTAGATTGCAACTCCACCCCCTTTGGCAGTTCTATCTAGACGGAAAATGTTATAGTTGGGGATGGAAATTTCAGAATTTTTGGTGGCCTTCCTGAGCCAGGATTCAGATACATCATCCTAGCCTCGTTGAGAGAGCGGATAGGATGCTGTGATTTGGATCTCGCCATGAATGACTGTTCCAGAGATGCGCATTTACACGACTCTAGTCACTGAGTGGTGTAGTGATAGCTGCATGCAGGATGCATCCTACAATAAAATAGGCTCTTGTGAGTAGCCTGAAATGATCATTGTTATCAAGCCACTAATGAATGTTCATAGATTCTCCCCAAGAATATAAAGTGGTCACAATCACATGTAGTGATACACAAGCTACAAACCACACACTGTGGACTGATGATATATTGACACCAAGCAACAACAACAAATATTTAAAATACCACACTGGAGGTGGGGGCAGATGGTTGATTTGTTTTTAACCAAAATCCTGAAACCTTCAGTTGTCAAGTGAAACACAGGTGAACCCCTTTTCATCCCATTTGCTAATGTAAATGCAATGAAACTGCACAGGCTTTTGGGGAAGAAACTTGGTTTGCCATTGAGGTTGTGAAAGGGGAAGATTAGGCCTACAGAAGACCTTTTGAAGCTTTGCCCTATATGAGCATTCATTGGTGTCAAAAGCACTGGCATATAATTATTGCTTTAGATTACACAGTTATCACCATTGTAAGTTTTATTAGCAAATTATAAATATAGTGCAAGGTACAAACAGGTATGACAGTTGTATACATTACATTTACATTTACGTCATTTAGCAGACGCTCTTATCCAGAGCGACTTACAAATTGGTCATGGTGTGTAAGGTATTTACATTAGGCCTACATTGTACCTGCCTTTGTAATAACCATGTAAATACATATGTTTTAGGAACACCATGTAATGTGAGGCCAATTTATAATATCACTTTATTAATGATGATTTTAGCCATAATTTGTGTATTATTTTGGTTGATCATATTTTCATCCTGCTTCATGAGATATACAATTAAATATATCCATACTGTCTATCTAAATATATATACTGTATCTTGACCGTCATCTTTCACTTTTCAGTCTTTTAAAGCCTTTTAAAGTTATTGATGGTGTATCTCTATCCACACCCTTTAACAATGTTGCTATTCAAAACATGTAAGGCTAAACCAGTTTGCAGCTATTCCACATGTGACCAATAGGGCTCGACTTCCTGTTTCAGTGGACTCTTGCTTACATGCTGCTGTCTGTCACGCAGTACTGTGTCTCTGGAGTCACACACAAACACAACTCAACAGACAGGAAAACAGCCTGCACTTTTAAGGTCTGGCATTACAACAAGAACAATGGAAGAATAGGCACTTTGAGTATCTGTTTTGAAAAGCTATAGGGAGGGGATTTCTGAAAGGAACAGTAAATAAGCTACACGTTTATATGCTTGACATGTGAATTGTTTAAGCCAGAGGATATCTTCTTCACAGAGTCCCGGTACATAGTCAGGTGAAGACAGACATGTCATCCAGTGTGTCTCTCCCAGAGGAGGATCTCTCCTGTCCTGTGTGCTGTGACATCTTCAGGGACCCTGTCCTCCTACCATGTAGCCACAGCTTTTGTAAGAGCTGCCTACAACGCTACTGGGACACCTCAGCCCTCAGACAGTGCCCTGTCTGCAGGAGAAGAGCCTCCAAGCGCACCCCTCCTGTCCAACCTGGCTCTGAAGAACCTCTGTGAAGCTTTGCAACAGGGCAGGAGTCAGAGCTCAGCGGAGGGGAACGGGGTTGCTCTGTAGTCTACATGGAGAGAGACTCAGACTCTTCTGTCTGGTGGACAAGCAGCCTGTCTGTGTAGTGTGCCAAGCCTCGAAAATACACAAGAACCACGACTGCTCACCCATAGAGAAGGCAGCACAGGATTGCAAGGTGAGAGACTGAATAATATTTGAAATGACTCTAGTATGTACATGCATGAAATAACTTGGCAACGTCTGTTTTCATAGTTTATGTTGCCATTTTCTCATGTAAGGAACCTGTGGCCCCTGGCAGTAAAATGCTGTTAATCAGGTCTATCCTGACAGTAAATGTGAGAGTACAGTATTAGCAGAGAAATATAGCAGAGAAATTCCAAGTGTGTAAAGTATTATATCTGCATTCCTATGGGATAATATCTGACCTGCTGGTTGTACGTCAGTGAGTGGTGTTGATAGACATACAGTGTGTTTGCAGAGTAAAACATTTTTAAACATAGTAAATTATCTCAGGTATTGAAAGGGTTATTTTAGTCAAGCAACACACCTGGCATGGAACCTATTGTTAATTTATTCACAAAATTAAATCTAGACGTCTAATCGAGTTACAGCTTGCTGCTTTCATAAGAAAGCTCCTGTTAGAATACCCTTTACTTCTAGGATGAGCTCAATGTAGCACTGAAGACCTTACAGGATACTCTGGACTCCCTCATTAGACTGAAGGGAACCTCTGAAGAGATGCTTGAGCCCATTAAGGTAATCTCCACAGATGTCATCTACATGTCCTTTTCATTCAAATGAACTCAAATCCATCAAGTTGTGCTCTACTTGCCCCTTAGAATCAGGCCCTGGAGACAGAGAGGCAGATAAAGGATCAGTTTGTGAAACTCCACCTGTTCCTGTATGATGAAGAGGCAGCGAGGTTAGCTGCTCTGAAGGAGGAGGAAGAGGATAAGATAGGGGTGATGAAGAGTATGATGACAGAGGCTGCAGCAGGGATGCTATACCTCACAGAGACTATTACAGTCATAACACAGGAGATGACAGGTGCTGAAGACATGACATTGCTCCAGGTTTGCACTCTCACAATTTACACATCACACACTCAAATTAAATAAAGCCAGAACAATCATTTTTGAGGAGAGGATGGGAGTTTTTTTATTCAGCCTCAATATTACACTTTCTTTGCTTTTCAGAACTTTAAAGCCACTATAGAGAGGTATGTTGAAATCCCCCACATCTCTGTCTATCACTCTCTTTTTTCCTCCCTCTCTCTGCTGTGGAATACTGAACAGGACAAATTTATTATTTTGTCATTTCAGAGCCCAGTGCACAGGGCAGGGTCCAGAGAGGATTTCAGGGGCGTTGATTGATGTGGCCAAGCACCTCTGTAACCTCAAGTACAGAGTCTGGAAGAAAATGCTCCTGCATGTTGAATACAGTGAGTACATTTCAATGGTTAACAGAGCTGAGGAGATAAGGAGGTAACTCCCACAGCATTTTAACCTGGCGGAGAGAAGCTAAAACAGTGGTGAGTGACCCAAACCCTTTTCCTGTCTCTGGCCCATTTCCTCCTCCTCCTTTTCAGTTCCTGTGACCTTGGACCCAATCACAGCCCACCCCTGCCTCTTCCTGTCACATGACCTCACGTCCCTTCAGTACACCAGCCAGCCCCAACGTCTCCCTGACAACCCTGAGCGATTCCACATGAGTGCAGAGGTCCTGGGCATGACCGGGCTCAGCTCAGGAAGCCACTGCTGGGTAGTGGAAACAGGATGTAATGACGACTGGATTCTGGGTGTGGCCTGTATGTCTGTCACCAGGAATGTGGAGGTCCAGGCCCGGCCGGAGAACGGGTTTTGGACCATATGTCTGCGAGACAGGGAGTACAGAGCGATGACCTCACCTCCAACAGCCTTGACAGTCACAGGGAAACTCAAGAGGGTCAGAGTGCAACTGGACTGGGACAAGGGCCAAGTGTCTTTCTTTGACCCTGCTGATGACAACGATACACCCCTTTACTCTTTCTCACACAAGTTCACAGAGAAAGTGTTTCCGTATTTTTATACGCAAAGCAAACACCCTCTGAGAATCCTACCTGAGAGGGTGTGTGTTACAGTGCAACATAGTGGGGCAGGACGTACTTGTAAAGTTCCCGACTGATCATTTTTTACAATAAATGAATTTCTGTCAATCCACAAATAGGTTAACTTTTATTTACAGGGTATTGTATGTCAACTATGTAATTGATCCTCCATAAATACAAGCACAGGTTTACAGAAGGAGGTTTCCTTTTTCATCTACTGCAGGTGACCCTTCACACAAGTATCTGTTCTGGTTAAGAAGAATTTCAATAAGGGAACTTTATGTTTACAATCTGTAAAATGATACAAATCATGAAATGTGATGTTCAGAACTTGATACAAATTGTAGATCAGAGACAACCAAAATCAATAAACAATTGAAAGTGTCAGAGAAAAACTAACAATGAGTAATACAGTTTTAACTTCGCTAAGAACACAAAATCTACTTAAGATTTTCCCATCCTAGATAAAACAAATACATTTTCTTTCCACAGTTGAGTTAAATGAACTAGCTATTTACTATTAACCACTTATAACATGTTAACTGTTATAACATAGAACCATTATTATAAAATGAATAGCTCTAGCCACGCATTGTACACTTTGTGTTCATAATCTTTTGCGTCCTGGAGTAGGTTCTTGATGGGGTGGTGATTGTAGATGGTTCCAGATGATTCCCATTGATACTGCTCTTCAGTGATGATAGGGAAGATGAAGAGGATGGACCCGTCCATTTTAAACAGCAGGATCCGACAAATCCATTTAAAAAGGGGGGTCAAAATCAGAATGGTCTATAGTAAGATAATATCATATTCCATTTGAACATTTTAAAGCTGGGTGTCTCTGTATGATGGCGCTCTGGATTGTGGAATAGTCCATTTTACAGGGTGTTGTGGATGAGTCCATGTTAAATAAGGGGGTATCAGAAGGGTCTCTGTAGGAAGGCGATGGGTGGGGAGCCCACACTGCTGGGGCTGCGGAGGTGAGACTCATACGAGCCGGGGGTCATACCCACAACCCCCTTTGTCTCCGGCGTCTCCCCTCGCAGGAAGTCATCCTCATCTGCATCCGAGCACTGAATCAAGAGAAAACAGCCAATCAAACCACAAAAACAACCAATAGGGAGACACACAGCATCCAATCATGTGTGTGCGTTAAAGAATACAAGAGCGTCTGTGTTTTACCCTTCTGACTCTCTTGGTGGTGACAGTGTCCATTTCAGTGTCTGCTGGCTCCTCCCACACCTGGTAGAGGGGCTCGATGAGTTTACTTGACCTAGAGAGGAGAGAAATGAAACCCCATCAGAAATGGAAAATGAACGCTGTTCTTGGACAAGTTCAGGTTGTACTACTGCCATTTCCAACCAATTTCTCCTGTTTTGTGCCTACTGATAAGTGGTTGCTGGGAAGGGTTCATGGGTTACCTCTTGAGCAGGTAGGGGTCGAAGGGGAAGAAACTGTCCAGGGGGTTGGTGTTGGTGGACACACAGTCGCCCCCCACGGAACTGCGGACCACAGGGAGAACATGGCGGTTGTTCCTCTCGATGATTGTATAGCAGAACACCAACTGGTACTTTCTGTGGATGGATGGATATACGTCTGGGTCAAACAACCACTTCACATTTTTAGAAGCAGACAGACAGAAACACAGTGCTGTAGCAGACTGTAATTGATGTGTGACTGGCTGACAGGGTGGTTGGTTGGTGTACCACTGTACCTGGTGATGGCAGCAAACATGTTGGTGACGGCAGGCAGGCAGACCTTCAGAGGGTTGAGCTGACACATCACTATCCTCTCTAGGTTCAGACCCTGCAGGTACGCCAGCCCTGGGAGGGAAACACAGACACACAGTTATATAATACTGGACACTGGTAGAGAGCACCTTCCCACAGAAACACAGATTGCCAGGCCAGTGAGATATTCATACCAATTGATACAAAACAATTTGATTGTGTGTGTAAGTATGTGTTTTCCCCTACCTTTCCTCATGTTGCCCTCCAGAATGCTTCTGTGTCTGAAGAGGAGTGCGTAGAAGACGGCCTGGCAGGCGTTGTAGAAGGGCCCGTGCAGCGTGATGTCACAGTAGGCCCGGGAGCCGGAGTCCTGGCTGTCTATGTATAGGTGAAGCCAGGGGACCAGCAGGTCCAGACACGCACGCACTGTACTGCAGGACGGACAACACAGTCAGAGAATGGTAGAGGAACTTAGTTAGGGAGTTAGGAGGGACCACAGAGAGTATACTGCATAGAACCAACCACACCCCAACATGCTCTATTGATCTCTTTCTGAACAGCAAAAATAAACTTTTGAATATTTAGGAGGACAGAGGGTGTGACTCACGCGACGGGCAGGAAGTTGGCACGGGCCAGGAAGCTGCCCATGTAGCCAGCGGCAGCCTGGCGCAGTACTGCCGGGTGAGACGGGCTCTGCAGTAACCTCCACAGGTGTTCCAGAAACGCCTCTGCCAGAGCCTGAGAGGGGGAGAGAGGGGTCAAACACACACACAGCCAATCAATCAATCGATTTACCCACTCAACCGTTCTATAAAATGTGACTACTATACAGCCGCACACTGTTGCGAGTACTGACCAGTCTGAAGCTGCAGAGGTAGAAGAGGGCGTATTGGACGTGACAGGAGGCGTGTGTAGGTAGGATAAGTTTGTCAAACACACATACCAGGTCCTTGTACAGATCCTTAGTCCGCTCCACATCCAGACAACCTGCCAGAGAGAGAGTAGGGAGGGGAGAGAGATGGAGGGGAGAGAGATGGAGGGGTGGAAGGGGAGAGAGATGGAGGGGTGGAAGGGGAGAGAGATGGAGGGGTGGAAGGGGAGAGAGATGGAGGGGTGGAAGGGGAGAGAGATGGAGGGGTGGAAGGGGAGAGAGAAAGGGAGCAGCGTAAGCACAGCACTGTGTTGTCATATGTCTAGTGAGTGTGTGTGAAGCCCCTGTGCTCACCGTTGACATGGCACATGTCCTTGATGAAGGCCAGCAGCACAGCCATGAGAGTGTCTAGTCTCTCAGCGACAGGGTGGACCATCACATTGGTCTCTGCTGGACTGGACTTCACTGAACACACATCCTCATCCTGTGTGAGAAAGAGACAGGGGAGAGAGATATGAGGGGAACTTCACACCACATCAATCGCAAAATGGAGAACTATCACACCAGTGACTATCGTATGTAAACCCTAGCAGGTCTAGTCAGTCACCATGTCAAAGAGGCCCTCCTCCTCCTGCTCTCCTTTCATCTCCTGCTGCACAGCGTTCTCCTCCACCTCCTCTATCTCTCCCCGAGGAGCACTCACCTGGAACACAACACACAGTATTAGCACACAAAAACCACCTATTTCTCAGCGAAGAACTGGAAAGCCAACACACACACACACACACACACACAGCAGCAACTGTGACTTAACTAACACACACACACTTACGTCCAGTTTGAGCATCCTACTGATGATGAGCTCCAGGATGTCTCGTCGTAGCGAGGGGATGTACACCGCCACCCGCAGAAGGTTATGGACATAACACTCCTGGGGAGAGAGAAACAACCATACCGTACAACAATCTGACAATAAATAAATAAAAAATACCACAAAAAAACACGAGGCTACTGTAGCCACTGCTTACCAGGGTTCTGGAAGATTTCTGCACAAAAGGAAAGTTTTCAATCAGAATGGGCATCAGGAAATGGCTGGTGCTGAAATGAGAAGGAGAGAAAAAACTGTTTGTTACCAGTCTGCATTGGGGGTCAACAATTCCCAAGGTCAGACCCCAAAAATACAATTAAGGCTACTTCACTTGACACACGCAAAACAGGCAAGGATCCAGCAACATGTTGTAGGATTGTCTTATGGCTACTTACGATGGGACATATCTGGCTATCAGCTGCAGGGCCTGATGACACTGGTCAAAATCTCTGGGAAGGTCTTCAAAAATCAAGAAAGAAGAGAAAGGGTTAAAATTGTGCATAAATGAAAAAAAGTATTCGCCGTTTTGAACTAACATCCAACGTTGAACAAGTTGGATCTGTGAACTGGGTGTCATTCTACCCTTTATATTGTAATGGAACATGGTTCTGTAACGTTCAACGTCAACGAAAGTAGTCAGTCTGACAAAAAATCAGTAACCCTAAGGGGTGGGTCTCCTGCAGTGGAAGTCACCAGTGCTAGAGTCTCCATCTATTATCTTATCTACACCTCACCTCCCCTCTTATCATCCTCACTCTTCAAGGACTTTAGAAGTGTGCTTAGTTTCCCTAAAAGGATGAGCGGAGCAGCCTTTTACCAACCGCATTCTCAGCTCACTATGAATTTACTGCAGTGTGTATTTCAATGAAACATTTCAGGGACTGTCCGTTGAACAATCTTGGTTTTCCATTGCAAACAGTAATGGAACAGTAACACCTACTTTCATCGTCATCATCCGAGTCTGAGATGTCCACTCCTCCCTCACAGATCTTTACTCTCTCTGGAAAGGAAGGAAAAACAACAGGTCTTCAAAGTAGCCATATTGAGTTATCAGACTGTCCACGCAGACAGGAACTCACTGGGTGTGAAGTTGGAGACGACCATCTTGAGGCAGGCCCGGAGGTAGACCGTCTGAGCAGATACCAGGTTACTGAGGAAGGCCAGATACTCCTCCACTACGGCAGGGCTTCGGCCCAGCCACGGCAGTCTCTGGTACACAGAGAGACACAAGGGGTAGAGTCGGCATTAGCAAACTGTTCCTGGCCTGGGCAGTACTGTCCATCTCTTGATTCAAGTGTTCCATCCTCACCAGAGCCACATAGATCAGCTGCTCATGGTCTTTGTTGAGTTGTGTCACACAGTTCCGGAACTCCTGCAGCCAGTTGATGATTTGGGCATCCTGTCAAAAAAAAGGAAGACACTCCGTTATCAGTAAGACCTCTGGAACTGGAACATTTTCCTTGTTACACTGTACATGTAGCCTAACTGCTAGTCATGTCTGTTTACCTTGATATCTGGATCTGCCAGCTGATGTTTCAACAACTCATAGTCACTGGTGTCTCCCTTGAAAAACAAACAACCAGCAGCAAATACTGTCATATGTATACGAGCTTATAACTACATTATCTGCATTACAGAGTGAATCACATAAGTGTTTTAGGCATCCATATGTTTGGTGTCACTGGATGGGAAATCTCACCTGTTTGAATTTCGCTAACGTGGCAACAACATTGCCCCCAAACCGCACCGTCTTCAATGGGGGAGTGTTCATGAAATCTCTCCCCTCAATCTCCATGCTTTACACACACGCGCTGGGGAGGAAATTGACTGAGATACAGAGTGGTGAGCAAGTATTGTGAAACATAAGGAAAAGACTGTCATTTAGTAGCTAATGTGAAAGCTTGACAAAACAATACAGTTACCAAATGCTTGCTAGTTAGCTAGAAATGTGCTAGCTACCTTTAGTTTGATAGTAATGAATTTGAAAGGCTTCATTCTTACCAATCAAAGGAAATATTGTACAGATAGCTACAATTCTATTTGCGATGCAAAAGGCTGTTTCGATCGTGACAAAATGAAACGTGCCTTCTCCATGCCGCTTACTTCACAACAGGAAGAGAAAATGGTGACCGATTTTATTTACGGAAATGAATGTTAGCTTCTTCTTCCTGTACTAGCGCGGTTGTCTTCTATGGTGCCATACTGCTACCTACCGTGGCGGAGCATAGGCATATTTGATAGAACAGTACCATCAGAACGTGTCACCCTTGGCGTCGCTGCCTATCTGGATAGAGCGTTATCAATCCGACTCTAAAACTGCACTCTAAATTTATGGGGAGGGGTTAGAACATTGGACAGTGCATTTGCAGGAAATGTTTTTTCAAGCAGTAGTGCACTAATTGACAGTGTTTACCTCAATTCAAGACGTGGTGTATTTGTGAAATCATGAACATTCATGATGTCCTTGTCCTGCTCTGAGTGTGTCTCTTCCACCATCTCAAGGTTTGCCCACCAGTCCATCCAGCAGGCTCCCGTCAGAAGGATTACTTTTATACTATTCCAGGTATTCCTTAAAGAGGTAGGGTTTAAAGTGTCTCCGGAAGGTGGTCAGTGACTCCATGAACATTCATGATGTCCTTGTCCTGCTCTGAGTGTGTCTCTTCCACCATCTCAAGGTTTGCCCACCAGTCCATCCAGCAGGCTCCCGTCAGAAGGATTACTTTTATACTATTCCAGGTATTCCTTAAAGAGGTAGGGTTTAAAGTGTCTCCGGAAGGTGGTCAGTGACTCCACTGTCCTGGCGTCGTGGGGGAGCTTGTTCCACCATTGGGGTGACAGAGCAGCGAATAGCTTTGACTGGGCTGAGCGGGAACTGTGCTTCCATAGAGGTAGGGGAGCTAGCAGGCCAGAGGTGGATGAACGTAGTGCCCTCGTTTGGGTGTAGGGTCTGATCAGAGCCTGACGGTAAGGAGGTGCCGTTCCCCTCACAGCTCCATAGGCAAGCACCATGGTCTTGTAGTAGATGCAAGCCTCAACTGGAAGCCAGTGGAATGTGTGGAGGAGCGGGGTGACATGAGAGAACTTGGGAAGGTTGAACACCAGACGGGCTGCAGCGTTCTCGATAAGTTGTAGGGGTTTAATGGCACAGGCAGGGAGCCCAGCCAACAGCGAGTTGCAGTAATCCAGACGGGAGATGTGCCTGGATTAGGACCTGTGCCGCTTTCTCTGTGTAAGGTAGGGTCGTACTCTTGCGGAATGTTGTAGAGCAATGAACCTGCAGGATCGGGTCACTGCTTTGATGTTAGCGGAGAACGACAGGGTGTTGTCCAGGGTCACGCCAAGGTTCTTTGCAGTCTGGGAGGAGGACACAATGGAGTTGTCAACCGTGATGGCGAGATCATGGAGCGGGCAGTCCTTCCCCGGGAGGAAGAGCAGCTCCGTCTTGCCGAGGTTCAGTTTACAATGCAATGCATCGGCTCTAGGCACATTTATTCCCATTGATTGACCAGATATCTACTCAATACTCTCAGTCGCTATATCTCAACACTACTCATACGCTCAAAGCCCTACACATCCACTCAGACATGCCTATACACACAGTATTACATTTCGGTCATTGAAAATGTTGTGCCCACTAGGCACAAACAGGTTGAATCAACGTTGTTTCCACATCATTTCTACAACAAAAAATGCCCAGTTGGTATGTTCAATGACCGAAATGTACTGTAACAGTCTTCAAAATTATACATAGGTGTGGATGTGTAGGGCTTTTGAGCGAATTTCGGGAATGTTTTTTTTTTTTAACACAACGACAGTTTTGTTGATTTCACCTTGAATTGATGTTAGTTGACATTTCAATCAAATGCAAATCAAAACTAGACGTTGAACTGACGTCTGTGTCCAGTGGGTATGTTCAATGACTGAAATGTAATACTGTGTGTTTGTGTCTCAGTTCTCAGGGCAGGGGATGCTTCAGACTCGGCAGCAGAACGCAGCACTTGTCCGGAAGCTCCAACAACACCTCTCAAGTAAGAAATACATTTGTATCAATGGAGATCTATCATAGCCTTGTTCAGATAGAAACATTTAATGTATATAAAAAATGCGGACATGTATAATATTCCATCATATCGGCTCTATTCATCACATTTCTATCTGCAATGTTCAACAACGTTTGCCTACTGAACGATCTCTTATGCTCGTTATTGTGCTGCTTAGTTTAAATGTGATTTTAAATGTTTTTTAAACATTTGCAGCCTTTTCAGGTGTGTTGATAACACTTTTGTTATTTTCCTCCCCAGATAAAAGACCAGGACAGAACACCAACCCATATTACTGATAGTTCCTGTTGGGTATTCGTGTTTGGAAGGATAGAGAGACCCTGTGTGTGGGAGTGTCCACAGCCAGCCCCTAGATTGGCAGATAAATGTGTCCAATGCCCCGCAGGCCCCTGTTTTAGAGATAGTAGGCTCTTAAGTGGGAAGGCTGGCCAGAACAAATCAGTTGCAAGGGCATTTGATTTCCATAGGGGGGCAGGTTTTTTCATGGGACCTCCATGTGTGCACAAGCTTGCTTACATGTAGGCTACTACTCGGTATAATTCAGAGTTGGCTAAAAACACTGTAATTATTTTAATATGATTAAAGTCTAGAAATTAATATTCATTGAACAAGACCCATAGAAGTGACTTTATGCTCAGATCAAAGAAACTGGCCGACATTGTGATGCTGCATAGATGCGGTAAAGAGGTCAATCGAACTCAACTAAAACAATGGAATTGCATGGAAACGCGTGGGGAAAGGGCTGTGGGGGAAAGATCCCGCCTCTCCTCATTGCCCGAAATTACTCTACATTTACGGGATGTGTGTATTTCACAGTGCAGTATATCTAAACTGTAAAGGCAACCCTCAACATGTTATGTCAGCGTACAAAAGCCAAATTAAAAATTACGATCTGTAGTACACGCTAACCAGTTTATACGAACGGGAGTTAGTATTTAGCAGTCACTTCTTCTAAAACTGAAAAGGGACAACTTCTACATGTTATGCAGCGAAAATAGCGAAATATATCCAAATCGGACTTAAGTAAGCACATTGTGGGCCTATTACACTACATAAATCATGACGGATTTGACAAATATCCACATTGTTAGATCAGATTTGTTGAATGTGCGCCAATCTGGTCAATGGATCGTCTGCGTTCAATTGACTCCTTTACCTATCTATACTATAGTTGCCATGGTAGTAGCATTGTTGCATCATGTGTAGAACACTGAGGAAAGCAGAGAAGTTTATAATTCTGAGCAAGCTACAATAAAGCTGATTTTTCTGTCTCTATGCGGATTATTACAAAGCTTCTTTAATCAATTCAACTCTTGCCATCTCAACACCATTGGAAAGTTTGAGCCTGTGATCTTCCCCATAGGTGCAGGTAAGAGCTAGGGTGAGTATGATTTTAATGTTGTTGCCTCTCCCATGTCCCTGGAGGAGTTTTACAAATGTGTTGTGGATTCCACCAAAGCGATTACAAACCTAAAATCATGTATGATAAAGTAGGCTTCAAAACAATAACTAGATAGGGTAGGCCTGTTACGAACCCCTTTAAAATGGTTAGCGCTATTTAGAGCAGTGGGTAACAGGTCTGCCTACAGGCCGGGATATCCCAGTTAAAGATCCGCAAGGATAGTTGCACTGTTTCCTTGGTATGGTCCCTTGGGGGCCATTGGAGAGTTGTGTTCATGTGAGGTACTTGCTATAGTGAAGCATGGGGACACACTCTCTCGAACAGAGGGGATATGTATAATGAACCTAGCCTAGGTAAGGCAACGTCTTGCATCTCGCTTATCTGCAATATCTGCAGTTCATCCTGCTGCTCGTGGCAACATCATATTGCTGAGTCTCACTTTAACCCTTATTGGAGCAGTGGTTAGCAGGTCTGCCTATGGGCTGGAATACCTGGGTCGAGATCCACAAGGGTCACCTCACCGTTGCCTTTCGCTAAAAATGCTACATTGGTGGCAGCCGTGGGATGGTCATTGTGGAGGCCATTGGAGAGGTATGCTCACGTTAGGGACTTGCTATAGTGCAGCATGGGGACACATTTTCCCGAACAGAGGAGATAGTGTAACGAACCTTGCCTAGGTAGGCCTGTTACAATCCTTCCAAAAAGAGTAACCCTAATTGGATCAGTTGTCAAGTCTGCCTACAGGCTGAGAGATCCGGAATTGAGATCTGCAAGGGTCGTTGCACTGTCTGTCGTTGCTCCCTAAATACAAAATCGCTGCAATAGTAACACAACTTGTAACTTTGTTTATTTCAACTTAATAAAATAGAGAACAATTTCAACTCTATTGTATTTTTGGGTGATTATTCAATCAGGTGCAATGCTGGCAATGTTAACAAGGTAATTCATGCTTCAGCGTTTACCGTGTATGTGATCTTTGTGTATGTCAAGAAAATTGCCTTTAAAAGGAGCATTGTCGACAACACACCTTTTATTGAATCCTGGCCTTGTTAAACTTAAGAACAATAATAAAGTTGTCCTCCGAAGAGGGGGAGGTGGTGGCAGGGCATAAAACAATAATAGTAATACAACATGTAATCATAAAGGTGTTTTTTAACTTGATCAAAAGAAGAACAAACGTTGTCCTCTGAATGAAAAGAGGTGATTGGCTAAAAGAGGGCTATTTGATTCACCAAGTTCTGCACGATGGACTCTGTCTCTGCCCTGTGGATTTTTCAAGAAAGCTCAACCAGGTAGGAAATATAATGCAGTACACCTTTTATGTATTCCATGTGTACACACTGCACAGTAATAACAACAAGACAAATAATTACTACTATTGCTTGTTATTAATATAATTTGCATGTAAACAATTTGTTTCTTTTTCTTTGGGTAGCGGGTAGTTTGTGAGTGTTACGAACAAGCTACTTCAGGGAGCGATTTCCTGTCCTAAGCGAGTCCTAGGTTTGACTGGCCAGGCTGTCAGTAGGTAAGGACCCCTTCCATTACGCGGTCCACTCACTAACCTGTGACATCTTGGAGGTTATGGTTACCACACCATTGGAAAGTTTGAGCCTGTGATTTTTACCATTGTTGCAGTTAAGAGAGAGCGTGAGTATGATTTGAATGTTGTTGCCTCTACCGAGTCTCTGGAGGAGTTTTACAGATCTGTTGTGGATTGCAGCAAGAGCTGGGATGAGACTCATGACATCATGAGCATTACAACAAACTGGTTGAAAAGAAGAATGCACTGGTAGAAATGGACAACAATATGTAAGTAGAACCATTTTTTTCTATCAACAACAAAAAACGTCTTGGAGTCTTGTCGGACGGGTAAAGCTGTCAGCTCCGCAGCCATTTACTTCCCTCCGCGGCGCATCCCGGTTCAGTACCCACATTGGCACTGCGTGTTTCCGCTCCACATTTTTTATGCTCCTATCCTGTCATGAAATGTATTTAAAAAATACCAAAGGAGTTCGGAATTCTGTTGTTCTTTAACCCAGCTCCCTTTCCTCCTTTCCTTTCGTAGCCACTA